GCGTTTCAAACTATTTCAGGGAGCTGCGTATCGTCCTCGAACTGTGACTTGAAGTAGCTGCACATTGAGCTCCACCCAAGTCGCACCTGACTTGTCCTGTCATGTTGGCAATGTTTCACATTCACAATCATTGCCAAATGCTTAGAAATAACATGTTACTGCGCTTGTTGACAACACGCGCATAGATTTAAATTCCGTGCCCTTCTTTTCTCACATTGGTTCCTGAACGATGGACCCGATGCTGATCATCGCTGGTCTTTCGAACGAAAAACATGCTGAACCATGTATGTAGCATACAGCAGATCCAGGTACAAGAACCCACGCAAAAAGACATGAAAACGGCGAAGGAAGGTTCAGCAGCAACTAGTTCGGTTCTCAAAGCGCAAAGGGTCATTCTGAGGGATGAAATAGTGACGCGTAACATCACGCATACACAGGGCAAGTGTTCCAAAGAGGGCAGTCAAATTCAGAGGATGGTCCAGCTGTCCACACGGACGAGAAAGGGTGCCCCTGATTGTCAGGGCCCCGTAGGACACCTTGCTTGTTCTTGAACTAGAGAAAGCGTTAAGATGCTTTAAGTGACTGTTGTAGAAAGTCACAAAGTCACTAGTGACTTAGTTTGTATACAGCAAGACAGTAGTAAGTAGCTTCTTACAGAAGAGAAGATCGACGAAGACGGAACAACAATGTACTTACATTGGCTAAGAAACTCTATCCTAATCAAAAGGCAGGAAGGGAAAGTGAATCCGATAGGATTGTCAATGTTCATAGAGTCCCATAGAAAGCTGTCAGCTCGATTTATGCGAATTTACCCATCAGACACCAAACTGACTTAAACAGAACTAGACTTCTCAAAGCACTGGAAACCTTATGGAAATTCAAGACGATTGAAATACACGGCCAGGGCGGACTGGACGCAAGCTGCAGTACCACTTACTGTCTTAAGGTCTTTCACTTTGGAGACTGGGGAAGCATTGCGAAGCATGGCTGCTCTGTGGCGAAGCACGGCGAGGCTACAAAGTACAGGAACACTTGACGGACACTTGTTAGCAAAGAGAGTTGAACATTTTGATAGCAAATCTCCGAATGCACTCTGTTCGTCTCTCCTCAGTGACACTCGTGATCTCCCCACGTTCTGCTTCAGAGCGCTTTCGGCCTTGAATTTCGGCTTGGGCCGTAGGCGGAATGGTATAAACGGCACGTTCGAAAATGCCTTTCAAAAGCATAAGATGTATATGCATGTATATGCTGGATTTTAGTAGATTGCTAAACAACTTGACACAAATGGTGATGTCTGATGTCAATGTCAATGTCAGTAGAACCTGAGGAATAGACCAACAACGCAATAGCGACCAGCATTGTGAACATCCCCTCCGATGGAACCCCATTCAAACTCGGCGGTGTCGATGGAGCTTGCCTGCGAAGGAGCGGCAAGAGAATAGGCTAATATAAATGATTATAATAGCATATAGTAATTATGACAATATTAAATGGTTCAATCTATATTAATCAGAATAAATCATCATAGCCAACATAGATATGATAATAGGACAAATAATGTTAATAGCATAAACTGACTTATTATCGAACCAATTGAAACAATCCATCCAATTCCGCCGCTGTGTTGGGGCCCTATACCCTGACTGAGTCCCACTATCTAAGTTTGCATTTGCAAGCGAAGTAGCTCTTGCTGTGGAATTTACTACATTATATCATTTGCGTGTATTTGCGTACTCTTGAGATGGCTGGGTTTCTCAACATACTGTCCTCCAGCACATGGCCATTCTGGCACGACATGGGGAAAAAATTGTGGGAATGATGTTTCTTCAGCATTTGGGAGAGCAGTATTTCATACACATAGGTTGTTCCTGAAGAATGCCCAAGAAATTGCGTGAAGTTGAAAGAGGCTCAGTAAACGAGTTTCCTAGCTTGAATATATGATGGTTGAATGTGGTTGATCTAAATTATTTCGTCTGGAAACCGCTGTGCAACGAGAAATAAACAAAACGTTACTTTCGTGACACTTTCGTGACACTTTCGCGAACTCCATGTAAATCTTTGCAAGATGTGGGGCAACAATGTCTCTTATAAAAGTTCAGTCATTACTTGATGACGGCCTTGTAAACGTGCAGCTAGCAGTTAGCATCACAGAAACCCTTCTCGGGACTCATTGTTGCTTGTTGGATATATACATTTGAATTTGAACAAAAAATGTTGCATTTGCAAATCTTACTGGGCCATCCCTTTCAAACTACACTTTTGCCCGCTCCTTGGCGGAACTTTCGCGGAACTTTTGCAAAAATATCCCAACGAATCAAATATGGGTACGATGGTGATTTATAATATCTATACAACTTTCGCGAAGCTGTCTCGAAACAAAATTTTAGATTTATGTTCGCGAATTCACAAAATAGCTTTCGCGAGGGTTCGAAGCAAAACCTAAGCGGTCTTCGCAATCATAATTCTTTACGAGGGCCTTTAGATCAATCACCCTATATACATATATTGCTTGTATGTACTGGTTCAAATGCGGAAAATCGACCCACATCAGCTTCCTGGAGTGTTTGTCAGAAAAGTTGTGGGAAACTGTGTTACTCCACTTGAGTGTTAAGCTATGTGGGTATTCTTTAGTCCAAAGTGGGACCGTTTTTATGAGTGGGCCCAGCGCTGGGCTCATGTGCAATTTCCTCACGGGAGCTCGACAGAACCGTAATTGGCCAAAAACATATTTGGGGTGGTGGCAAGTAATATATATGTATATATACATACATATACATATATATGCAGTAATATATGTGATTTGTGTGCATTTTTGGAAGGCCCTGTGATTTGGTTTCATTGGGTTCCATTCAGATTAAAAGTTCGTCTTTATTACATAGCACCAGGCCGGATGCTGAGGGATCGGCTGCATCAAGAGCAGAGAATTGCTCATGCACCGTCTGGAGGACAGAATTGAAGCTCTTGTACCTCAAGTCTTTTCCAGTTGAGACAGTATTTACAGCAATGTGCGAATCAGTAGTTGATGAATTTGCTGCAGAACCACTCAGAGCCTAGCTCTTTCTTCTCCATTCGATTCTCGAACCAGACTGCCAAGCATGGCATGTTGTGCACTTGCACCGATATTGGTATAGAATGCTATATATGGATACGTATAAATATGTATAAATAAAATAAAATACAGTATATTACAATACAATATCAAATTATACAAGCAGAGCAGTGTTCATGCACAAAGTTTCATGGCTGCCTGATGGGGATACCTGTAAATGTTAGGGCAGCAGAAACGACACACCAACATGATGTCAACATCTGCGAGAACCGGTGTCCCGCCAACAAGGTGTCTGCGATGTCGATGGTAGATTTCAAACAGCTCAGGCCTAAGCAGGTTCAAAGACGTACAAAATTGCAGGCAAACATGTGTGTTTTTCTGTGCCGGTGGATCAGAAGCAAATTGTCTACATACATCTTCGTATTACTTCAGATCTGTTATGAAACTCGGCGTGCTGTTAGCAGTAATTAGTTCATGTTGATAGTTGTGTATGTATATAACATATATATATATATCTATTATAAGGAAGTTAGAAGTCAAACTTCCGACAGTATGGACAGATGAAAAGCAGAGGTGGAGGAGAAGAATAGAGAAGAGAAGAGAAGAGAAGAGAAGAGAAGAGAAGAGAAAAGAAGAAAGAAGAAAGAAGAAAGAAGAAAGAAGAATGAAGAATGAAGATCACCAAAAGAGAAAGTCTCAGAAGAAAGAAGATCCAGGTGCCCGAAAAGGTAGGAAAGTCGCGAAACACTGAAAAATTGCACGCCGTTGTGGCACGAAGCACGTTTCGAAGCCAAAATGTACAAAAAACACCATGCTCGGACCACTTTTGGAAGTTGAGATGTCGAAAAAGTGCACGCCGTTGTGGCGCGAAGCACATGTCGAAGTCAAAATGTACAAAACACACCATGCTCGGACCACTTTTGGAAATTGAGATGTGCACGCTGTTGTGGCGCGAAGCACATTTCCAAGTCAAAATGTTAAAAACACCACATGTTCGCGCCACTTTTGGACGTTCAGATGTCGTTTCGCGTGGCAGGCGCAAGGGATTGTGGACCTTGTCAAAAGTGAGCAAAAGATGAGGGTTTTGTGGCATTTTCAACTACAACCACAACTACACCACACTACACTCCAATACACTACACTATAACTACAACTACACCTTCACCACATTCCACTACACTACACTACACTCCACTACACTCCACTACACTCCACTACACTCCACTACACTCAATTACACTCAATTACACTCAATTACACTACAACACACTACACTACACTTCACCACACTACACTACACTACATTACACTACACTACGCTCCACTACACTACACTAAACTACATTGCACTACACTACGCTACATTCCACGACACTACACTACATTACACTACACTACACTCCACTACAACTACACTACACTCAATTACACTACACTGCACTACATTGCACTACATAACACTACACTACATTCTACATTCCACAACACTACAACAACAACTACAACTACAACTACAACTACACTAGACTAATTGCATTACACTACACTACGCTACGCTACACAACTCACTACACTACACTACACTACACCTGCACTGCACTACACTACACTACACTAATTGCATTGCACTACACTACACTACAGTAATTGCATTGCACTACACTACACTACCCTACCCCACATTGCATTACATTACATAACACTACACTCACTACACCACCACAAATGCAACTGCAACTACACTACACTAATTACACTACACCGCAACTACAACTCCACTACACTACAACTACAACTACAGCTGCACTACACCACACTACATCCAGCAGTTGTGGGTGAGGTGACCGACCAGGTGACCATTGCAACCATTGCAGCCACTCCAAAAAACACAGCTCCAACCACCTTTCGGTCCATCAGTGGATTTGCTCTGCCATCCGTGATTCACAACAACCAATCTCTCCTATAGGTTTCCTATTTTTGAAACTTCCGCCACCGCCTTGTGCGGTACTACTGGTATAGATAGCTGTGCTTTGGGGACTTCTGACTCTTCATTGTTGTCCTGACGGCAGCCTGCGTAGCAGGCACACTGCTCGAACAAAAGCGAATAAATGTGCAAGCACATGACAAATACGGTGGCAGAATGTGCCAGAGGTTTCTGACAGCAAAAACGCATTGAGACTTCATGAAAAAATCCGGAGAAACAGAGACCATACGAGGGACATCCATCAGGACACCCATCAGGACATCCATGGGGGCATCCATGGGGGCATCCATGGCGACATCCATAGGGACATAGACTGGATACGTCTCAGCATTTGGCTCTGGTATGTCAAGGCCCTCCTGCAAGTTGAAGGTGTGATGCCTTGGCAAGGTGTCGCAAGTTTGAAGAACCACGGGAATGATCTGTACGTCTGAGATCATGGTCCTTTAAGGCCTATTCTTCCCTATTCTCAGTATCACTTTCACGATCGGTCTTCTTGCAGCTGTGTGGCATCGAAAGGAACGCGAATGATGACAGCAACTTGCATACAGTGGAGGGACCTTGACCCCCAAGCTTCTGAAACGCAGGAATTTTGCATGCGAAAGGAAAAATACCCATGCAGAAAAGCACGAAATGCTTTCTGGTCGAAACCATGGAGACTGTAGGCGCGATTAAGTTGAGGGATATCCAGGAATTCGATCCTAAGTCTGTAGACTGCAATTCAAAAGAGCTCTGAGAAAACCACCATCTTCTTCTAAATCAACGTTTCTCAGCCTGGTTTGCTCTCAAAGAGAGATTCAAAGGTGTTTGTGCCAAGCTAAGGTCAAGAAGCATCATTGCACAAGCTCAAAACCACTGTATGTTTCATTCCAATGCCAATGCTCTAGGACACTGTTGTTGTGTGTGTAGGGTCTTCGCCCTGAAAAAAAAAATAAGCGGTGTCTTGAGGTGTTCACATGAGGATGGAGTGGGCATGAAGATTACAGGCACATCGCATATGCTCGTCCACCCTCTTTTGCTTTGTCTCTGCCTTAGGAGAAACTCGATGCAAGCTGAAGCAAGATGATGCACAATCATGCTGCAAGAGCTGTCCCCAGTCTTTGCATGTTACTGGATTTATATGATCTATATAATTTATAATTTAATTTAGAATTTATAATATGATATGTGTTTCAAATTTGTTTCAACGTGATTCCAAAGCTGTTGTGCCTCGCGGGCACGTTGGGCTTCAGGTCGTCCTGATTCCTCGGTTTGTGAGATCCTCTGAATTCACTGGAAACTTCTTGGAACAATTTGGAACAGCCTTGTCAGCTTTGTAGAGTTGAATTGGGTTGAATTGAGTTGAATTGAGTTGAATTGAACGAAGTGCGAAGGAAGAGGAAGAGTTGCCGAACTGTTGTTGCTGTTGATGCTGAAACGTCTGTGAAACAGTGCGGTGTCGACCTGGTCGACCTGGTCGACCTGGTCGACCTGAGGCTGTGACCTGAGCACCAGCCTCTTTCTTTATCAGGTCCTGCAAAAGCGAAGCTTTCAATGGACGCGACAAATGGCACACCGACTCAGTTTCTGAGGCCCGTTATTGGACAGGCAAACAATTTCAAAAGCACAGCCAGGCTGTCCACACCTTGAGTTCATCCAGCCAGGTGTCAATCCACTGAAAGGCTTCGGAGAACAGTCGGCCTTATCCACAAAGCGGGAGCAAAACGTGAAGGGCACAGAGCACAACTCGAATGGTGCAAAATGTTGCAAACAGTTTTTCAGCATTCGAGATAAGCAGGATGTTTCGGACCAATTTGGGATCCTCGGTGCAAGCTTCATGGTTTGCCTCACATTGTACGCATATCTTATATAAACAGTTCGAAAGTTCCAGCCTTAGAGCTGTCACTTCTTCAATGCTACCTGGTTGATACGAACTCTTGGTGACTTCATGTCACGTTTTACCATTTGGAGTCGCGAAGTCCTTGCAGGACGTATTGCATGATTTTCTCGACAGATGGTCCCCATGCTTTCAGAATCCACCAATGTGTTCTGCGCAAACGCGTCGTGAGCACTTTGTGGACTCGAGGATCTCCATCTTGTGCTGATCGCATCTGATCTCGCAAGCTGTTCTTTCCATTTCACAAGACCGTCCAGTGCCAGGGAAACCACAAAGAGGTCGTTGCTCAAGGTGCTCTTGCAGAACTGACAATTTTCTCGGACGTTTGCGATCTTGCCAATATTCGTCTTTGAATGAAGCTGCCTTTCCTTAGTCACTGTAGATCACTTTTAGAATCTTTTAATCACATCAATCTGAGTTGACCTCCATAAGCTCTGGAAAAAATATCAAAAGCAGTGCGTCCAAATAGCGTGGCAGCAGGCACAGAACTGGTAGCAAATCCTGCGTGGCCAACAAATGAGAAATGCTCAAAGTACTTCTGTCACAAATCCGTGCAAAAATGAAGCGTATGCAATTCAACGACTTGGGTCTGGTGTCTGCAGGCCTCCTGTTTCTTTATCAATGCTGAGGGACGCAAACTCAGTGCTGTGAGCTTTCAGTAGAAGCTCCGTAAGGTAGGCTTCTTTCTGAGCTAGTCCTGATCATCACCGGAATCTGGACGCCAAAATCGTCAAAGTAAGTGTCGAACCACATGGGCAGAAAAACAAAAGAATAAGAAAGGAAGGAAATTTCGAGAATCTGTCGCTTTCCAAAGATGGTCATGGAATGGTGAGTGGTGGTCCCATATGATGCTGGTGGTGTCCTTCCAGCTGCAACCAATCGTAGAATGGAACGTGGGCCACACGGATTCCTCATGGAATCTGCAAGGAAGCGAAACGGATCTAAAAAAAGCGCATGAACAGCGCAAGGAAGCCGTTGGATCGTATCGCAAAAACCGGGAGTCTCATAGCTGATAGCAAGCGGTGGCGCAGCTTGGAAGTGGATGTCCAATGCCAAGGAGCTCCATGAGGCCTTGAGTGTAGTCCCACATGCAGAGAGATCTATCTGTGGCTTGATTTGATTCTATCTCTCATCAAGTCTTCCAGTGTCCCAGTCCTGTAGAAGTGACTTGGGCCATCAGCCTGTTCTCAGGTAGGAAGCTGAAGCACAAAATCCAAGGAAGCACATGGTCCATGCTCCCTACTGGCAAACCTTCATTTGTCTTCATTTCTATGAATTTCTCTTTATTTCTCCTAGGTCCCTTCATTTCTTTTCATATTTCTTCAGCACTTGATGCGCTTTCTCTGATCTTTCGATCCAAAGCCCCGCCTCCACAGCAACACAGAATCGCGCAAGCGATCGCCCAGGTTTCGAATCATCCCATCCCTGAGGTTCCTGCCAGAAAAGCACAAAAAGCACATTGCCAAGTTCCGTCCCCCGGGTTCGCCCACACACAACACACCAAACCTGCTTCTAAATCAAACGGAAATTGGTGTACAAACCCTTGCGAGAGACCCTTCCGCCACCGCAGTGTGAAGCTTGCACAGGTGTGAGGCATCTTTGAGACCAGGTTTACACACATCGTACCAGATATATATATATATATATATTTATATATTATATATATATTATATATATATTATATATATTATATATATATTATATAATATATATATATACTGTATACTCTATGCTTAATTTGGAGCTTCGGCGAGCTTGCGAACCAACTTTCTGAACTCATCACTTTGTAGTTCCAATGACGTGCTACTTAGTCTGCTCCGATGTCTCCCCGGAGCGTCACGAACCCACTTTCTGGGGGGCAGAATCCAAAAACCTTTGAAAATCAATGAAAATTACCTTGTCTAAAAAGGGGGTCAACTTTTCAACCGGTAGTTTGGTCAGACTTTAGTTTAGAACCTAGCAGTTTACTTAAATATTCCCGCAGCGCTGGGCTGTTTTTTGACTTTTCGCTTAGAAAAATGCTTTTTTGTGGCAACCAAGAAAAAGTGCGCGTTGCAGCCAGTAGAGTTGCTTTGGCACCTTTTTGCTGCTTGGGGACAGCCGTTCATTCACAAGCACCTAGAATTTGGCGCGGATGTGCAATGGAGAGCCCTAGGTAGGCTGGTGGCCGGCTGTCTCTATCGGTTTAGGTCTGAAATTTGGCGCCGTGTGTCCGTGTGTTGTTTGTGATCCTGTGCGCTGCCAAATGCAAATAACAACACTGAAATGCCTCTGCTTTCACGTTTGCATACATTTGCGTGCTTGCTGAATCTGAATAAGTGTGGCAGTGATCCCAAATGGGGCACTCTCCGAGAACGTTGCCATAGTATGCCCTACTCCAGTTAATCAGTCCCAACGGTGTTAGCACGATTTGTTGGAATCCCATACATGACGAGAACAATGACTAACATCATTTTGAACTGCCCTCGAAAAAAGTAAAATAAAAACGACTAAGAGTCCTTTCCGGAGTATTGCTTTGCCGGTCCTCTTCAACTTCACTTCTGCTTACTGCCGCGAAGTCTAGCAAATACCTTGCAAACATGCAGGTTTTCTTTAGTGCACGGATCCGCTGCATTGATTTAATTTATCAGATCAACCAAGAGCCTCTTGTCTTGAAGCAAGTGGCGGCCCAACTTCCACTTCCGCTTGATGATGCCAGGAGATGTTTCTGGCTACCTGGGAGACCTCATCTGCAAAAGCAGATTCGACTCGGGACTCGGGTACTCCCGTAGCACTCCTGATGCTGAAGAGCCATCGCGCAGCAAGGCCACCAAGGTCTTGCAGAGTCACCGCCGCATGGCCGAGACCTCACTGTGTCACGATCGTGTCACGACCGTGTCATGACCGTGTCACAGACATGTCATTCAGAGTTTAGCCGCTTAGCTGGGCTTAGCTGGGCTTAGCTGGTTTCACTCACTGGTTTCACTCGTTTGACCTCAACTTCTGTAAATTGCTATGTAACTATCTATACTCAATCAGAAAGTGCTGTCAAAACTGCTTCAGGCCCTTCAAACTTTGGAGGGAAACGACAGCTGTTCAGTGAACCACTCACCATGATTTGAAGTTTCAAGTCCATGATCAGCACAATGAGTCTGGCATAAGCGCAAGGCGTATTGCCATCTCGAATGTCTTCAGCTGATAAAGTGCCTCCTGAGGTATCCTCTTGGATCGGAGAAGCTCCTGGATTCGAATAGATAGAATGATAGCGAGAGAGAGGTAGAGACTAAGAAAAACCGTCTCGTTCAGTTCAGCGACCCTCATTTTGACGCAGCAGACTTGCCACCCCGCTAATATATCTAGTATCACATCATATCACATCATCTGTGCGTCTGTCGCAAAAGGAAGAAACACGTTCAAATGACTGCTGTGACTGCCATTCAGCTGTCTGGCCTGTAAGAGTCGTTGCTGAAGCTCCTTCTCCGGGAGTGCAAAATAGCCTTGGAAAGAATACATTGTCCTCAAATGTCTTCAAGGGTTTTGATAAAAGGACAAGTAGTCCCCAACCACTTGCTATTTCTTGAGCAAGCCACTCAGTGCTAGCAATACATTGGCTGCGGTTTTGCATGGAAGAGGGACCTCGGCCATTTCATCAAAGTTGGTCCTCAATTCCCAAAAAAGATCATAAGAGTCTCCCCCTGCATCTTGTCCCAGCAGAGTTGGTGCGTTTTGATAATGTGACGTAAAGATGCCTAGATGCCACTTGAGATGCCTCAGTGTTGGAAGCTGTCGGAAGCAGCATAGTGCGCAGCCTAAGCAAATAATTCACTGTTCCAGTCAGTTTTAACTAGGCATTCCACTAGGCATTCCAAAACAATTGAGCTGGCAGCCGCACTCCCAAGCTCAACTGTCCATTGGGGGACTTCCCAATCATACAATGGGACTCAAATGCCCTCAAATGTTTTCACCCTGCCTCGAACAGACTGCGACAGCCACGTCTTCATCCCACACATCCAGCCTGTACAGCCTGCGACCAACGCCGTGGGTTGTCTTCCCCATGAATTCCCGGAACCTCACAAACAACACTTGCTACATCTGCTCCCGGTGCTGTCAAGCTACTCATACAGGATTCCTCCCAAAGCAGCTACGTTGATGCCATCAAGCTCCGAGTCATGGGGCAAACTCCTCAAGTGAGAGCTAAAGCGTCTTTGCATCTAATCAGCGACAATGCTGGACCATAAGAACGCTCCCCAACGGACTTCTGTGCAATTGTGGGACTGCATTCCAACCTTCCCTACTTCGGATATTGCAACGTTGTGCAGCTTTCTGTACAAGCTTCTCAAGCAAAGGGGATAGGACAGAGGGTGAACGCCAACGGAGTCGTCCAAATGCTTGCAAAAGCTTCAAGCGCTCCATCAATGAGAACCTCTGAGGGCTTGAGCACGAGAGAAGTGAAGTGGGCACAATGAGACTCAAAGTGACAATTACAGGATTGTGAGAGAATGGTTCTTATGCGAATGCAATCTGCGGTCCGTAGTAGTGATTGACAGTCAGGAGAATGCTCAGGAAAGTGCATAAGTCTATTGAATTGTCTAGTCCTTTGTACCCTAGCGTTGCTAGTGCTTGGGCTTGGGAATGTTGAAGATCGTTAAGCTCAGAATGCTGAGTCTCGGATATTGAGTAAATCTGAGAATACGTTGCAATTTTTGCGCAAGAAGCCACAGAAATGTGATTTTGCAATTGTTGACGGAGCTGGCGGACAGACCCATTGGCTCAAAGGCTCAGAGTCTAATCTTTGAAATCCAAACCGGTCAACTACCTGTCAGTTTTCTCTTGTGTCTGTCTGTTTGCGTCATTTTGTCCCTGGTTTTGCCATCAGAGCACTGGCATGTGTTCCTGAGAACATGAAGCAGCTGGCATAAGCTCGAAACTGAAGGGCTTGCATCCGCTGAGACAGCACCACGTCCATTGCAGCAACCAGGCGTTGCGGAAACATGTTCAGTCCACCAAGGTGAGAGCAAAGTTGGACCAACGACTTGTTTGGAAGCGATGATGCTCCTGATTCTGTGTCTTGGTTCAGCATCAGCCCAAGATCAAACCACAAAAGCCCGACAAGCAACAAGCATGTTGTTTACAACATCTTACAACATCTTACAACCATGCTTGTGTGACATATGTGTCTTAGTTTCCTGCTGAGGCACTGGGTTCCAAGAGGTCAGCCAAAGCTCGTGTCATCATGTGCAGTTTACCACCCAAGCGGCCAACTGCACCAATGAGGTCGATTACATCCTGTGAAGAAAGGTCGCTGGCTCTCTCCTTCAGCACAGCTTAGGACACTACACCACTTTGGAGGGAGTTTTGGGCACAGCATTCTCGAGAGATTTGAAATGGCCATGTAGACAAAAACGTAACAAGTTCAACTGACCAACAAAGTTCTGTGAGAAAAAGGCAAAAGGCCAAACAAGACAGGTGGTACTCGGTGGTACCTTGCTTTTCCCCAGATCCTCAAAGGAAGCACTTCTTATTTCAAACGGAGACGAGGAAAACAGAATCTATTTTAGGCGATATATCTACTGTATATATATATACATATACAATATATTACAATATTATCTTCCTTTACAGACCTTTAAATGTACAGGTTTCCAAGAAACTTGCCCGTCTCAGTCATAATCACAATATGTCCAACATTGTCGGACCTGATAATATTTTGACAAGGTTGTCGTCATTGCATGGGCCCTCTTTCCGATCTCGGGGTAAGGGAGCAGCAAGTTTATGGCTAAATATGACTGAAGGACAAACGGAATCTGAATCTAAAAATATGAATATAATATTGTATATGCGTATTATAAATACTATAATATAGAAACTTCGGGAACTGGATTGAGATGCCAGTGCTCCCTAAACAGGAAGTAAGGTCGTCTGAGGCACGCGAGTCCTTGTCATGGGTAGGTCGTCATTGTCATTGTGGTTAAATAAAAGAGTGAACCAAGAGATGAACTTTTTTGGGTCCCCCTGCAGAAAGGACAAAAATAACCATCCAAACAAGTAAACTGAGCGAGAGAGAGAGAGAGAGAGCTGCCCAGTAACCAAAAGACACACGCCCATTTGTGTGTCGGCACCTGCACACGCAATGAAGGCATGCATGTGAATGCAAGAATGCACAGCCTGCACAGCCATTCATGCGTAAGCACGAAACCACCCACACCCCCAAGGGCACGCACAGGAGTTTTCATGGAAATGAATAAGACACGAGAGTCTCCGTGAGTTTGGGAAATTGTAGGTTTAATTTCACATTTTGGTTTGAAGCGCCTGGGCTTGTGAATCTGACTCCAAAATACCAAAAATGTCATCTGAAACTGCAGAAACACATGGGAAATTCGAGCGTCATGCGACGCGTCATGCGTCGCGTCATGCGATTCAATGGTCCTTTAGCTTCGAGGATAGACCAGGACCGCCGACGCGATGGCCAATAGCTGCAGCAAGCCTTGTACAGGAAGAGGGCCATGACTGCCATGACTGCCATGACTCTTGAACTGGCTTTATCTATTTTTCATCTCTCTACTGGAAATTGTTTTGTGATGTCAGTAATTCTTCACAAAGCCGAAGGCAACAAGTGATGGTAACAAAAATGTGACAAATGCATACAGATATAGTATGATATAGTAACAGTTTCGAGAGTAGCGGATTCTCTGGCATTCTCCGGCCTAACTTGAGGTTCTCCAAGGTGAGCAGCATCTCTTGCCAAAGCCACTACCTTTGCCGAAAGGATTCTGAAAGGGCTCCGGAGTGTCACGCGAAGGCTCCGAAGGCTCCACCAAAGAATATGAATCGATTAATCGATAAATCGATATTAATCTGAGTCTATCAGAAGTCTATCTGTGTGACACTGTGACATGTCTCTCAGAGCACGGACAGCTCCATCTGAGCAGTTGCCCTTGCAACTCATCCAGCACTACCAGCGTTGCCACAACCTGGTGACTATCGATTGTTGCATATTGTTCTTTTGTATATTCTTTTGTATGTTCTTTTGTATATTCTTGTTATCTCCTTTGTATCTCTCCTTTGTACCTACCAAGCTGCCTCTGGCAATTGAAGTGCATCCAACTGCTGGGGCTCGGCAAGGTGCCCTCCAACTGTTCCTTAGATTTGTAACAGCTCCATAAAAGCATTGTATGTAAAACATCTATGCTGATATGTGTATAATATATATAATATATATATATACATATGTATATAAATATACTGATATATATATATATATACATAATATTAATATTATATATATATGTTAATATTATATATTATAATATAATATATATAATATATTGTATATACACAATAGTGCACTCAACACAAAACACAAAACAACAAAATGGATCATCTCAGATCATCTCCATTCATCTCACATGTGCAAAAAAACAAAAAGGACACAAACAAGAAGGCAGAAAAAGTGAAGGAAAGCGGGAGTGAACTTGGACCAAAAATGGATAGAGGATTAACAGCTGGGGGTGCCATCAAGTACATTGGCAAAACTACTCTGGAACTTCCAATATTCATCAATATTCCACAGTTTGAGAAGGTCTACCAAGTCTCTGATCATGTGGCCCCAGTTCACGTCTTCATGACACTTCTGTTTCCACTGGGAACAAGCTGCGAACACCTCGGCGAATTTTTGGATTCATTGTTCTGCAGTAAACATCCTGCTGAGAGTCTCATAGTATGATCATAGCCGACATAGCCTCACACTATTCACACTACTGTACTGCATCTGCGAATCTGTGTCCTCGACTGCATTTGCTCAGTGTGACTCAGGTCCTTGGGTCCTTGCACGGGCCATGGTAGGACCATCCAAACTCTGGGAAGCCACCAGCCGCGAGACCCGTTCTGCAAAGGCAGGCCAGAACCTTGCCAGGCTGGCAGGGAAACATTATGAAACATTGGAATATATAAAAGCCATCCGGAGGCCATGGTGGGTTTTCACAACAGTGCTACAGTCACCAAAAAAAAAATACCACAGCTCCTCCGCAAATTTTACTTGATCTTTCTATATCTATCTTGGATGTGTCCACAATGTGTCCACCGGCGAGATCATCTGAGGCCGCTTCTCTACAGCTGGGCGGCAATGACCTGGTCAATTCTGCGCATCGCTCATTGCTCGGACGCTAGTGCACAATTAGTGCATGATGCTAGGGAACATTAGTGAACCAAACAAACCAAGCAAACCAAGCAATTCTGCTTCGGGACTGTTTGAAGTCCAACAAAAAACATCAAACTATATCAGGTTGAAGATAAACTGTTGAGTTTGTATTCGTGCAGCCAAGGGAACACGGGGCGAAGCTTGCAATTGCCTGCATTTCATGATACCAGTGTCATCTGACTAGATACACAAATACTTCAGGAAAAACGCCTGCTGAAGAAGGAAATGTGAAATGTGAGCACTAGAACTTTGACAACACGGCCCAGGCACCTCCAAACATCCTACGACAAGTAAATCTACTGTACCTTATAACAAGTAGGCTCAACACACACACACACAACTCCAGGAAGACTGGGAGAGGAATAGGGAAATATAGAGCTTGGACACAACCCAACGTAAATTACTGTATGATGCCTATGTGTAAAAGCTTTTCTAACACGGTGACCTGAACTGCTAAGACAAGTCTTATGGAACAGCAAAGCACAAAAACTTCTTGTCTTTTTAACTCCCGGACTGGATGAAAGCTGCAGTGCTTATATGGACATATTAAGGAGAAGTACGTCTGCATAGGTCCGACATAGGTCCGAGATAGGTCCGAGATAGGTCCGAGATAGGTCCGACGGAGCCAGGCGAGAAAGGCGCAGTCAAAATAGCTCTGCCGGCTCTGCCTCTGCAGATTCCAAGAGTTGCGATGCTGTGCCCAGGCGAGAGCCTCCCACAAGGAGTTGCACCAGGAGATCCTTAGACCGAACAAAAATAAACCAAAGCTCAAAGAAAACAAAGAAAAATGCCATGCCATGGAGATCTTCTTGGAGATCCTTGTGCCGATCGTATCTTCTGACTGGTTGCACTTAAGAGAACAAGAACCGAAGCAGATTCTTGACACATGTTTCTTTCCCTTTCCCTGATTGTCGCCCAAGTTGGTCGACTGCACTCGCAAGGTGCAAAATCCGCTGATGCCGTCCATGTTGTCTTACCCTGTAATATTTCAATATTTTGTAGCTGACGCCCCGCCAGGGTGTGTGTGAAGATACCATTATCTATATTATTTTACTTTGAAGGTTTCAGCACCAAACAGAAAGGGGATGCTATGCAGGGCACGCTGCCAGTTGACAGTTGACCCTTGATGCACCTTGAGGATAGCCCCAGTGGGGTGAGGTGCCACTGTAGATGGTTGATTCCGTTGATGATATTTATGGCAGCGTGTTCTAAAAAATGCTAGAGCCATAACAGCCATGACAGCCAAGAACATGGGCCTACGCCGTTGTTGTTGTTCCAATTGTTTCGGGGGCCCTTTGCGCTGAGAGGCTTTCATTGATCTCTTTAAGCTTGTTTGATGAAGTCCTGCAAATGCTATGGCAGTGTACGGCTGCCGCACCACGCAGTTTGTAGTGGAGAAATACATCCAAAAGGATATTACAAAACCTGGGAAACTGAAAATGCGCAAAATAAGAAATTATACTGTACGCTGTCTGCAAAAGTCTCGGCAGTCATAGTGCAGATAACCAATTTCTGGGCTGGTGCAGAAGCAAATGCTTTGTTTCTTGTCCCTCTCTGGATGACAACCACATGGCTGCAAATCTATGACAAGCTCTAGACATCTCTAGACCTTCTATATAAAAGGTGGGGACACTTTCTTGAGGCGAGGGACCTGGATCTGCTGCAGAGATATTGAGCTATCCTCAGGAAAGCAGCACTGGCCAGCAAAGAAGTCCAGTGGAAATTGCGATTGCGAGCCATTCACAAACGCGACTGAGAGGCAGTGGTGTTGGTCACATGCCTCAGACACTACATTGTAGCAAGTGAACGCAATTAGAATCAATCAGATTTTTCTTGGGGTTCTTGATGGTTCCTGTTTGTTGATCACCTTCGCACACAGCAAGTTTCCCGCCTGGGGTTCGAATGCCCAGAATATGCGCACAGCACCAGGCGAAGTTCTGATGGTGAAAGCCCACGGGCATGGTGGTAGATCTGTCGCTGGAAGTTGCCAGCCAAAGGAATACTGACCGAGGTTGCTGTTTCAAATGGTTTCCAGTGGCAAAGCTTCACAGAACATGTTTGGATTGGCTTGAGGGAAGTTCCCCACAGTCCCAAGCTGGTGCCTCCGGCAACAGTTTAGAAGGAGCCTTGCCAGCCTGAATGCGTGTGGGCACAACGTAACCACCCTGAGAGACTCAAACAAGCCACCTACTTATACTTATAAAGATTGAAAGTTGAGACCTTCAAAGCAGAAATTGCCCAAACCCCAGTTGCGCTATCCCAGTTGATCTCCCAAGAAAGAAACATCATGCTAACTCGATATGCAAATTGAATCGATCTTGTCACTGGGAGCTAGGCTGAAGGTCCGTGAGGTACAAATGGCTGCAGCTTCGCAAGAAGCTTCGCACGCACGGCCCAAACCGGCGCTGAGCGCGCCATTGGATCCAGTCATGACTTGGAGAACAGGAAGGCTTTCAACAGTTTAAGGAAAAGAAGCTTTGCGAACCTTCTTGAAGCTGACATGCTTTATGTTGTTTTTCTTGTCTGGTCTTCTGGCTACTCTGGCCGGTGATCTTCCTTTAGAGCAAAAATGTCCAGCATCTCAAGATGAATCGTAGACCTTGTGTGAGCTATCCTGAAAATCCAGAGCAATCAAAAGTAGTTGCAAGTGCCTCCCTGTTGAAACTGTTACTACTTTCAACGCTTTCAGTAACTTGTTTTCTACAGGCTCCTGTCAAGTTTGACAGTGCCCTAATTGGAAGTGACAGCTACGCAGCTATGCACGACTTCAAAGCTGTCAGAAACTTCTTGGCTGTGCAAAAAGTTCATCATTCGCTTCGAATGATGTCGGAAGCTAACATATCCTCGCCACTCGCCAAAACGCTGGATCCGGAACTCTTCTAGAGAGACTTCACATCTGCTGGCAAATTCACTCCTTCAAAGTTCTTGATGACAACTCCGTCTTTTCCGATGATCGTCTTGTGGGGAATGTACTTGAGGCCGTACTCATTAGGCGGTCGGCCAGCCGCATGGATAAGCTTTGGACTTGATAGTCCTTTGTCTGACTTGTAGGCTTTTCCATCGGCAACACCCTTCAAATTGACCAGGATAAATGTAATATTTTCGTGATCGTTTGCCAGCTTGTCCATCTCAGAAGCAGCAGGTCCGCAGGCAGGTCAGAAATTTGCGTAGAAGTCAATGACAACAGGCTTTCCTTCCGCCAGGAATGCCGAAAGCTTCTTTTTGCTTCCATCCTCCAACTCAATCTCGAAATCTGGCGCGGCCTTGCCAACAAGTTCTGACGCCATGCCTACGGCTAGGATTTGGAGTACTTACCCACAAGTGAAGCTGAGCGTTTCGAACCCGGCTGCAAGTGCAGTCACAAGAGGATTGTGCGAGCTCATCCCTGTCCCAGCAATGCGAAAAAATGACAGAGACACAGGAAATCACCAAGACACGATACAAAATGGAGAGAGACGTCAAAAAGAGAATGCTGAGTTTCAAGACGCAAGTACTGCTTGCCAGCTCGCAGCTCTGCCAAGACATTCCTCATGTGGCTCTTGGGTACAAAGCTTTCATTCATGTTCACTAAAAGTAGTTGTACCATGTTGTACCTACATCGGTTGAAGTTCCAGCGTGACTTCCTGTCAAACTAAGTCATACATTACATCATATTACATAGTTATTCTCGTGCAAAATTACTGTTTGCTATCAAAAAAAACTTGAGTGCTATGATTCCCTGTGTCCCAAGTGCAGCACTCGCTCATGTTCAAAGATGCCGCCAGCAAGGGCGAGGACTGACAAGTCCCACGTCGACATGATGAGCGAAATTGGAAGCCCATTGCATACCGCTAATTATTGCATGGAAGCTCGACAAATTCCCTGGTTTAGTGATGAATTTGAGGTTGGACAAGGGGTAACGGGTAACTTAGTCTTCTATCATCTTGCATCCATCTCAACATTCTCAGGGCTATATACTAGATCAATTTTCGTAGCCTCAAGGGCAAATTGATATTCAAAAAAATAAAAACTCCACCTTGATGCCACCACTGTGGGCTCGCAGCAGCAAAGACGTTGCAGACTCAACACCTCAGGAGAAAAGAAGAGCGCTGCAGCTGCTGCAGTATGCAGATGTGCTCAACTGTGAAGTTGTTGTTTTTTTCGCATCCACACACACACACACTTGTAAAGCCATCAATTCTTCTTGCTTGTAATTACTACACACTGCCATGCAAGATGGTACCGCTCACAAAGACACTGTGGGACCGAGGTCTCTGCGTGCCGCCACTCGAATAGCAAAGAGAACAACCCCAACTGTGTCGGAAGTCACCGAATTGGCTAAGACAAGCGCCTTGGATGGAGAACAGATGCAGTGAAGATGCAGCGCTGATTCAACGGAAAAAAACAAGGCCAAACTCAAAAAAAAACATCGCGTTCATCTGAGGCCGGATCAAGCTCCAGCAAACGGCCAGAGAGAGAAAGCCTCAAACCATGATATTCACAACCAAAGTGTGTTCTTCACCTGGTATTGGACTGTTGGACTTTCTTAGACTACTCACAGCAGCTGAACACTTTTCAAGGTCAGAACGGCATCTTGGGCGAGCAGGACAACTCAGTGAGTAGCCTCAGACTGATACTGGCCCCCACTGCTCCGTCATCCTGATTTCCGACTAACCAACGTCTTATTGGGTGCTTTCATGTGCTTTCGAGGTGACGAGCCAGGTCCAGGGCTGTCCAAAAGGTGTGGCAAGCAGCTCTGCCTTCAATGCCGCCGAAGCAGGCTAATTCCAGCATGTCAAGCCAGACTCTGGGTTCATAGTTCTGATTCGATGATGCTTGCGATGATGTGCTTGAGAATGACTTTTCTTTCCACGCTGTATTATTCTTGGATTCAGGACGGTGATAAATCCGCCGGCACCGAAGATGCCGAGGCGTGATAGTTTAGGCGTGGAAGCAACCGGACAGATCTGTCAGACTGGTGCAGCTTCGGATGTGGGGCCATGTTCGCCCGGGCGCCGTTGCCAAAAAGTGCGCGAGACTGTGGTAATCCGCCGACCCCTGCCGACAGCAGGGGGAGCGCGTCAGAGAAGAGATTACAAGCAACAAGTGTTGTGCAGTGCAAGTGAGGGGCAAGCGAGGGGGGGACAGAAAGGGAAGCCAGGTGCAGAGTAAGAAGCCCAAAAAAGGAAGCGAGAAAGGAGAGGCAGTCTCAGCGAACGTAGCAAGCGAAAGAAGCACGAAACAAGAAGTTAGAAGCAAGAATGCAGAAGCAAGAGTAAACGAGCGACAGAAAGTAATGTTTGGCACTCTGGGCTACGGGCCGCGGGCCCAATCCGTCTTTCACTGCCATGGCGTTTTAGCCCTGCGAGGGGGTCCCTTGACCGGAGCTTCAGGGCCATGGTGTTTGAGCTCTGCGAGGGGGTCCCTTGACCGGAGCCGGGCCGCACGAAAGCCAGCTGTCAGACAACGCAGGCAAGTTGGCAGTTGGCAGGGCAGGAAAGGACGGGAAAAGCAAGCTTTGAGCTGCAAGACGACGCAGGCAAGTTGGCAGTTGGCAATGCAGGAAAGGACGGGAAAAGCAAGGTTTCAGCTGCAAGACGACGCAGGAAAGTTGGCAGTTGGCAGTGCAGGAAGGCAGGGAAAAGCAAGGTTTGAAGCTAGTTTCTAGGCAGTTCAGAAAGCAACGTTAGGCACCGTGGGCTGCCGGCTGCGGGCCCGATCCGTCCTTCAGTGCCATGGTGTTTGGGCCCTGCGGAGGGGTCCTTTGACCGGACCTGTGCAGGACGCACGCCAGCTGCAAGAAGACACGGGCAAGCTAAGTTTGGAGCTCGTTTCTAGGCAGTTCAGAAGGCAACGTTAGGCAGTGGGGGCCGTGGCCCGCAGGCCCCGTCCGTCCCTCAGGGCCCTGCTGTTTCGGTGTGGCGAGCGCGCCCTGTGTGAGCCTTGGCGGCTGGAAGACAGGTCGTGGCGGCCGTGCCCTGCTGTTTGGCTGTGGCGGAGGCGCCGTTTTAGGTCAGACAGCTACTTTTCTTGTAGGTTCAGAAAGCAACGTTAGGCAGTGGGGGCCGTGGCCCGCAGGCCCCGTCCGTCCCTCGGGGCCCTGCTGTTTCGGTGTGGCGAGCGCGCCCTGTGTGAGCCTTGGCGGCTGGAAGACAGGTCGTGGCGGCCGTGGCCCGCAGGCCCGGTCCGTCCCTCAGGACCGTGCTGTTTTGGCGTGGCAATCGCGCCGTGTATGAGCTTTGGCGGCTGGAAGACAGGTCAGGCAGCTTGCTTTCTTGTAGGTTCAGAAAGCAACGTTAGGCAGTGGGGGCCGTGGCCCGCAGGCCCGGTCCGTCCCTCAGGGCCTTGCTGTTTCGGTGTGGCGAGCGCGTCGTGTTTGAGCCTTGGCGGCTGGAAGACAGCAAAGAGAGTTACTTTTCTTGTAGGTGCAGAAAGCGACGTTGGGCACTGAGTGCGGTGGCCTGCAGGCCCGCTCCATCCTTCAGGGCCCTGCTGTTTGGCTGTGGCGGAGGCGCCGTTTTAGGTCAGACGGCTGCTTTTCTTGTGGGTTCAGGGGGCGACGTTAGGCAGTGGGGGCCGTGGCCCGCAGGCCCCATCCGTCCCTCAGGGCCCTTCTGTTTCGGTGTGGCGAGCGCGCCCTGTGTGAGCCTTGGCGGCTGGAAGACAGGTCGTGGCGGCCGTGGCCCGCAGGCCCGGTCCGTCCCTCAAGACCCTGCTGTTTTGGCATGGCAATCGCGCCGTGTGTGAGCTTTGGCGGCTGGAAGACAGGTCAGACAGCTAGCTTTCTTGTAGGTTCAGAAAGCAACGTTAGGCAGTGGGGGCCGTGGCCCGCAGGCCCCGTCCGTCCCTCAGGGCCCTGCTGTTTCGGTGTGGCGAGCGCGCCGTGTTTGAGCCTTGGCGGCTGGAAGACAGGTCGTGGCGGCCGTGGCCCGCACGCCCGGTCCGTCCTTCAGGGCCCTGCTGTTTGGCTGTGGCGGAGGCGCCGTTTTAGATCAGACAGTTACTTTTCTTATAGGTTCAGAAAGCAACGTTAGGCAGTGGGGGCCGTGGCCCGCAGGCCCCGTCCGTCCCTCGGGGCCCTGCTGTTTCGGTGTGGCGAGCGCGCCCTGTGTGAGCCTTGGCGGCTGGAAGACAGGTCGTGGCGGCCGTGGCCCGCAGGCCCGGTCCGTCCCTCAGGACCGTGCTGTTTTGGCGTGGCAATCGTGCCGTGTGTGAGCTTTGGCGGCTGGAAGACAGGTCAGGCAGCTTGCTTTCTTGTAGGTTCAGAAAGCAACGTTAGGCAGTGGGGGCCGTGGCCCGCAGGCCCGGTCCGTCCCTCAGGGCCTTGCTGTTTCGGTGTGGCGAGCGCAGCCTTGGCGGCTGGAAGACAGCTAAGAGAGTTACTTTTCTTGTAGGTTCAGAAGGCCGTGGCCCGCAGGCCCCGTCCGTCCCTCGGGGCC